TTCATGTAATTGCTCAGTATTGTTCTGGTTTGGATTAGTGGGTTTTTGGTAGCAGGGGAAGGGCCCCAGGAGTGGCTCCCCTAAGAAGCTGAGAAGCTCCCTCTGCTCCAAAACCAGCAAAGGAGCCACTAGAGGGACAATAGATGCGCCACTTCATTAACATACGAAAGAACTGACGTAACACCTTAGCAGAGAATGGCTTGAGGGAGAAGAGCTGTGTTGGGGAAGGAGAGTGGTGCTGGTGGTTGGTGAGGAAGAAGGTGCCCGAGCAGAAGTTTCCCTGCAACCCATGGCGAGATGGCAGCTGTGCCCCTGCACTCGTGGAGGAACGTGGTGGAACATTCCTTGAAGGCACCAGGAGAGATGAACCTGGCCACTGGACTTGGATTTTGTGATCAGTGGATTTGCTGCCAGTGGATTCCACAGCTTTGGAAGACCCCGGCGCCGGGGAATTCGGGTGTTCCCGAAGCAGCCCCTGACTCTGTGGTAAGCCCAGGCTGGAGCAGCTCCGGACCTCGTGGGAAGGACTCATGAAGGAGAGGTTCCTGGAGGACTCTCTGCCATGGGAGGGACCCCGTGGGGAAACAGGGAAGAACTCTGAGGAATCCTTCTTCCTGAGGAGGAAGGAGCAGCAGGAACCACCAGCCTGTGAACTGACTCTAAACCCCATCCCCTGTCCCCCTGTGCCGCTGGGGGGAAGGAGGGAGAGAAACCGGGAACAAAGTGATTTGGGCCCGGGAAGAAGGGAGGGGTGGGGTAACATATGCAAGCCCTGCTCTGTGTGTTGTCTGTTTCCTGTTTGTGTTTGATTAGTGTGAAATTAAATTATTGTTATTATTATTATTTTTCCCCAAGTTGAGTCTGTTTTGTCCGGGACCTTAATCAGTGAAGAACCCTCCTTGTCCTTAGTCTCAACCTATGAGCTTCTAGTTGGACTTTATCTTCCTCATCCCCGAGTGTGTGTGTGGAGGGGGGAGTTGAGTGAGTGGCCATGTAGTTGTTTCTTTGTTTTCGTGTTAGGCCCAAACCACGACAGAATAATATTATTTATTGTAATATCTGGCTTCATTAAGTGAAACACTTTTTACAAGTCAGTTAAATGTGGTTTGAAGTTTACATTTTCCCTTAAAAGCCAGTTTAATTGCATTTCTTCTTTAAGGATGTTGATATTTTTGCAACTAAAGTTCTTTTTTTGCTAGCAGCGACTTTGTGCTGCTCAAGGACTGAGCAGAACCTGAATTACTTCAATTTATAAAATGTTTACAGTGTTTAACTATCGAACTAAAATACTCATGTCATTAGTATTCCATTAGGAATGTTGCCATTGTCTGTGTCATTTGTTATGTTTTGGAAACCCCAGAAATCTCTTGGTATCCTATTATGCTGTGCTGCAACTCTCTTTGAAAGGTATAATAATCACTGCTATGGTTATTTCCAGATAAATGTTTAAGCATGTGTATAAGCATAGGTTCCCTTTTTGCCTTTGTTTACAAAAAATAGTTTTCTAAGTCTCTGACTGAGTTTATTTAAGCTCACACATTTACATTGTGGATGAGTTTGGTCTAGTACCCCTACATGTGTCTTATATGGCACAATGTTTTGTCAATTTATCTGCAGAAACTTTAAGATGATTACATATTGGAAAGTAAAGATTTTCTTTTTTCTAGATATTAATGCTGGAAATCAAATGTTCTCATGAATATTGGAATTCAGGGAAAAACTATTAGTTTTAAGTTAGGCTGGACTGTGGCGCTGATTTAGTTCTGGATTAATATTTTACCGTAAACATAGAAGCAGAGAATTACAGAATAGTTTGAGTTTGAAGAGATCTTTAAAGGTTATCTAATCCAACCTTCCTGCCGAAAGCGAAGGCGTACTCCTCTAGATGATGTTGCTGAGAGCCCTGTCCATCTTGTCCTTGAATGTTTCCATGAATGGGACATCTGCCACTTCTTCTGGCAACTTGTTCCAGTGTTTCACCATCCTCATAATAAAATACTGCTTTCTTAGACCTAGTTGGAATCTACCCTCTTTTAAACCCTTACCCCCTGTCCTATTGCTAAAGGCTTCACTAAAACATCTGTCCATGCCTTTTTTCTGTCCCCCTTTAAGTACTGAAAAGGCACAGTAAGTCTCCCTGGAGCCTTCCCTTTTACAGGCTGAACAACCCCAACTCTCTCAGGCTTTTCTCATAGGAGAGGTGTTCCAGCCCCCTGTTCATTTTAGTGGTGTGCCTCTAGACTGCTTTCAGCAGGTCTGTCTTCACTCTTTACGGGAGTGGAGTAGAGGAGCAGAATCACCTCTCTTGACCTGCTGGCCATACTTCTTTCAGTGCAGCTTAGGATATGATAGGTTTTCTGGGCTGTGAGTGCACATTGCTGGCTTATGTCCAGCTTTTCATCTGCCACTACCCCCAGATCTTTTCCTGCAGGATGGCTCTCAATCCCTTCATCCCCAGTCTCTATTGTCACTGGAGGTTACTTGTACCCTTGTGCAGCACCTTGCACTTAGCCTTGTTGAACCTCCTCAGGTTCACAGGAGTCCGCTTCTTGAGCTTGCCCAGGTCCCTCTGGATGGCACCCCATCCCTCAGGTGTTTAACTACACCAGTCAGCTTGGTGTCATTTGCAAACTTGCTGAGGGTACACTTGATCCCATTGTCTGTGTGATTGATGAAAATATTAAACAGTACTGGTCTTGATATGGACCCCTGGGGGACACAATTTATCACTGATCTCTGTCCAGAAATTGAGTTATTGACCACTACTCTCTGAATGCAACCATCCACCCAATTCCTCATCCACTGAACTGTCCATCTTATCAAATCCATTTCTATCCTATTTATAGAGGAGGGGCCAGATGGGATCCACCCAAGGGTACTGAAGGAGCTGGCAGCAGTTCTCATCAAACCACTTTCCTTGATCTATAAGCAGTCCTGACTAACCGGGGGAGGGGGGTCCTCACTGACTAAAGGTTAGCAAGTGCTATGCCTATCTAGAAGTGCAAGAAGGACCTGTCCTGGCCTGTTAGCCTGACCTCAGTGCCAGCAAAGTTATGGAGCAGATCATCTTGAGTGCCATCACATGACACTTACAGGACAAGCAGTCAATCAGGCCTAGTCAACATGGGCTTTTAAAAGGCAGGTCCTGTGTGACTAACCTGATCTCATTCTGTGACAGGGTCACTCACTCAGTGGATGAGGGAAAGTCTGTGGACTTTTCATTTTGTATCCTTATTTTTGTCATACATGCTGCAAAGAAGTAGAGGGTTCAGTCAGCATGACAGCCCTGAGAATCTGTTGGTAAATGTCAAATAGATATGATCAACAAATTATCAGCCTTTCTGAATATTTCAGAAGAAGCAGTTAAATCTGTCAGGTGGCATGGGCATGGTTCCATGGTGTTTAAACTAAAGATGATCCCAGTTGGCAAGGCCTTGCCCTATCTCCCACCCCCATCCCAAATTATAGCTGTTTCCTGCTTTGCACTGACTACATTTGAATGCTGAGTGAGTCAGAGGTAGTTGGGAGGGACTGCACAAATTGAGCTTTAAATCAGCTTAAATTGCTGTGGATCCCAGCCTTGAAAGGAAGGTCTGTTGTTGAATCTGTCTCAGTTGTAAAGCAATTTGTTGGAATTTTCTGAGAGGCTCTGAGGTTTTTTTGGTACAGTAATTAATTCCTCCTAGTATACATTGGCATGACTCTGAATAGACACATTTTTTGTAATGGTTTTGTTTCAAAAAAACAATAGGTGTTTTTTTAAGTGGAGGTTGCTATTTGTTTGTGGGATGGGGATGAGGATTATAGTTTCTCCGTCAGCCATCTTGGTCAGTTCAGTTAAAAAACACAAATATCTGGATAGGGCATTCTAAGTATTTGTCGATTTTTTTTTTTGGTATTTTTTATTTTTCATATAAACCTTTTCTATTATGCATTACAATACTACTAATTTTTAGTGACATATGTCTTTAGGCTGCCAAAGTATTCTATAACTAATACAGGTTAATAGAAATTAAGGGCAGTTACATTTTTAGATCACAGAACTTTTTGTACACAGACTAGAAATTTGTATTTGTTTACTGTAATTCTTCACAAAGGCATACAGTTGTTGGTTTTGAAGGTACCAGGTGAAGAAGGTTATTATTTTCACCAGTTAATCATCCATTGCTCAAAAGTTAAAAAAAAAGAAGTATAATTCCTGATTTTGAATTAATTTTGGTTTTTTTGCCCAGTTAGTTGTATAGACATTTCTGCTGAGTGAAACTGAGGAATTCCATGTTTCAGTCTGTGTTTCCTATGAAGGCATAAGTCATCTGTGGTTTTCTTTCTGATAAGATATATTTTTAAGGCATTTTCCTTGATTCTTAAAACATTTTTGTGTTCTGAAATTTCCATTGTTCCCTGTAAACATAAGGGTCACAATTTTCGGTACTTTTCTACCCATGATGTATTTCTGGTTTTAGTGTTGAAAAGTTTTTTCTTCTCAGATTTCAACTACAGTGGTCTTTTTAATATTTTCTACTGAAGAAGGTTATTTCAGTTGCTTTTTCACTATGACTCACTAAATGCCTTTAAGAGTTTGCTTTCCAGTTTACAGCCCTTCATTCTGCAGACTGCTAGAAATTTGACTTAGAGTTTGAATGTATAGAGTTTTTAACATAATTCAGTAAGCCGGATAAAAAACAGTTTTATTTACAAGCTGAGGGAAGATTTACTTCTGATTTTTTAAAATTATCTTAAAGTGACAAAAGTCATAGAAGTGATATGTTTCTGCACATGTAAATAAAAGATACTGTGAAAATACCTAAGATAAAAACCTATTTGTACTAATTCATCTGCTAGTAGGGGGAAAAAATATTTATCTCGTACCAATATTGATAACAGCAACTTTTAAGATCTATATAGTGATAATTGACAAATTGGTATGCTAATATAAATAACACTTTTTTAAAAATTATTGTGCTGACCGTCTAATTTTATGTTTTAATTTTATTCAGAGATCACGATGCAGACATCAGAGACTGGGTCGGATACAGGTTCGACTGTGACTTTACAGACATCTGTGGCTGGCCAGGCAGCAGTGCCTACACAGGTAGTACAGCAAGTACCAGTTCAGCAACAGGTAGGTGGTTATTAGTTTTGGGGATATTAAAAAAAAATAATTAAGAAGGATAGTTTTTTACAGTGTGGTGAAGAACTTGATTTTGTACAAGGCTGCTAAGTGAAACTTTCCTGCTCTGCTTTTATCCATTTTATTTTACTGAAATTAAAATAGCCAGAGAAAGGCAAGCTGTTTTCAGGATCTGTTATTTAACCAAAGCATGTGACAAGCACCAGTAGTACACATACATGATTCTAACTGTAGGTTATTATAGAATTAATGTAATAGCTCATATAAATTTACATTATTTGTGTTACTGAATACTTACATTTTTTATTTTAAGTAATTAATATGTTTCTGTTATTATATGCTATACCATTTCTCCTTTCATTTGGACTTCGATTAAGAGCAATGTGATTGTAAAAACAAAAAGCACTGTCCTTGGTATCTTTAGCCTTTACCTGCAGTTCTTTGCACAGTGTCCTTAGAGTATTTGCAGTGTGACAGTAGGTAATCCATTACCTGCATTTGCCAGGAAGTAAGATTTTTGTAGCAGACAGCACAGTGCCACCTATCTTGCATGAGACATTTACTCTCCTATGCAGCACCCATAGGCTTTGAAAGGAGTGGTGACTGAGGAAAATGGGGAGGAGGAAAGGAGAAGTATGAAGGTAGAAAACAGGAACTGCGTGTGAAAGCTGAGACACCTGTCCAAGACTTCCAGAATACACATAAATTACCTGTTCTTGTGACATGTACTGTGGGTGACATCTGATGATGTTTTTCTTGAAAAACTGTCTTCATAGTTTCAGAATCCATAGCATGAGAACTGAACATAGTTCATTAGGTAATGTAATTTGATTCTGTGCCAGTGGAACACTTTTCCCTACGTGAAATTCTTCACTTGTTTGTTTTAAAATTCCAAGTGACACCTTTTAAGTATGTGTTCCACAGTCTCATCCATTTCATTAGCAGTTTTTTCCTGATTGACAATTTGTAGTTGCTCATAATTCCATTACTAGGCTTTCCGCTTATATGTCTATGTATCTCTTAGGATACAAGTTTCTTAAAAAAAATTTTAAATCAGATAAACATTGAATTTACACATACAAAATTTTATTTTAAATACAAAATTTTATTTAAATACTTGTGCAACTTGTGTAACTTGTGTTACTTACTTGGAACTCACCCTAGTGAATCAACAATTGTTTGAAATATTTTCTCCTGAGTTCAGACTGTTAAATCTTTCTCTCTTTACTGAAATACTGATTAGGACAGAGACTTTTGAATAGTGTGTTAAGTTTTAATTGAAGGTTCCATGGTACTTGGACTTAGCTAGCCTTTGTAGGAGATTTTGTCTGCCTAACTCTTTGGTAAGATTTGTGAAGTGCAAGACTTCTTTTCTTTATGAAGTATTATCTGGATAATTTGTATGATTTTTATGTTCTTTCATAAGGACAGATGTTTAATAGATATAGTTTGTTATTTGTTCCTTGTTATTCCTGTATTTCAGCTTTTAAGATGAAAGATGGCTATTTGGTAGCGCTGCACAGTTGCTGTTTTAAGCAAATAGGATATACGTATTATAGTCTAATATTACATACTGAATTCTATTAATGTGATATAATGATCAGTGTAAGAGATTGAAGATTGGTAATAAGTTAGTGGCATGTGGGCTACTTTGTGCTATTATATTAATCTTTGGATTGTTTGAACTGTTAAGGATAGAATCCTGTATTCTTTTTTTGTCACAAGCAAGTGCAGAACAGGACTTCGGTGTTTATATACTTTGCTTGTGCAAAGTTTCTACCTTTCTGAAAACTTTTAGGATAGAATTGGCTCTTTTTTTTTCTCCACATAAATAATGCATTAATTTTTGTCATCAACTATCTGTATCTTTTCAGAGGTTATTCCAGTTATCCTTTATTAATGTAATACTCATGTCAAAAAACAGAAGCCCAGAAGTAGATTGGTTTTTTACTTGTTTGATCATACCTTAATGAGAGCAGGATTTTTTTTTGTTATTTTATTGCAATATGTAAAACTGTCTCTTATCAACCTTACATACATCTCCTTTAGTACTTCTGAGATTCTCTTTCATTGAATTGTTTTCAATTGTTTTATTTCATTGTTTTCGATTGTTTTTGCAATGGGGATTTAGATTATATTTTTCCAGTTGACTCCTTAAACATTGGCCGTAGGAATCTGCATAATGTTTCAGAAAGGAAGGCTAACGGATCGACCCACTAAGGAAGAGGATTTTTTTTCAAAATTTTGCGAAGATTGAACAAGAATGTTAAGAAATCCAATGCAGACAGTGCTGCAGTGATTAAAACTTGGTATTGTGTGGGAGATTTGTGTAGAGAGAGAGGAAAAGGTATGGAATTGGATGTGTGGTGAGGAGAACAGGAAGAGTGAAGATGTGATTATGGTATACCAGCAGGAAATGTGATGAAGAATGTATGTAGGGTATGTAATTTCAATTGTATGGTTCACAAAACAAAACAAAGAAGTAATATCAAACACTGAAGCAATTACTGTGTGGAGGAAATTTTATGTGAGGAATTGTCTGCATATACTTTGCATTTGTTTAAAGTCAATAAGGGCTTTAATGTATATTTGGTAGAAGTGGGCCAAGTTGCCTAAACAAGATCAGGAGGAGTGCTAATTTCATAAAGTCATTCTTCTGATAACAGGAGGGCTTATTATTTCTGCACCTTCAGAGTTACCGAAGTTGGAGGAAAGGTTTTAGTTGCCTAGTATATAAACTGCGCCTCTGTTTTTTCTGGTCGTTTGTAAAAGACATACATAATAATGGCAACTGTATCCAAAATATGTGAGCATATGCACATTTGGAGTGTATCCTTTTGAGGATATATTTTACTAAAACAATAGGGTACTTCTTGAAATATGTTACATTCAAAGGTACTGTAACATAAGTGTCTGTGTAAATGCAGCCATTTGGAGTAAGCTGAAACTTCTGTATTGTGTTTACAGTAATTTATTAGTACTTTTTAGTGAATAATACCATTTCAGCTTTTAAAAAAATAATATTAAAGTGGTATATAGTATTTATTTTTTCCACATGAGGTCTTTATTTCCTGTGTTTCCATTCCCGTAAATAACATCATACTTAAATGACATGCATACATTAATTTGGGTAATTTTCATAGCATCAATGAGTTTTTTAATGCTTAGGAAGTGTATTATGTCTATTTCAAAACTGAACACTTTTGCCATGAGGAGGAGCAAGCTGAGTAAGTGGCAGGGTGGACTAAGAGCCTTTCTGCATTGAAGCATCCTGTCTTTTGAGCAAAGAGTGAAAGAGTAACTTTTGACATTTTAAGGTAGAATAAATTCCTAATTTGCATAGAGCTAGTATAAATCTTCTGTGATGGTCCAAAATGGGAAAAAAGGTTTCATTAATGAAAACCTGGGCTTCATTTCTGATGAAAGTGGCACTGGTAGCTGCTGGTTTCATGCAGGACAGCAGCTGTTACTGTTGAGATGGGATAAAGGGGAATAATAAGGGGGCAAACATGTCTCGTATAAGCAAAAAGCAACAATAGTAAGACGAAAAAGGTAGGAGTGTAATTAAATTCTGTTTTAATAGCCTGAGGGATTTTGTTAGTCTTTTGTTTTCTCAGATGTGGAGATTTTTGACTAATGTATTACAGCTTTTTCAACAGGACTCTTGTACAGTGCAGTAAGCTTCTAAGGATTAAAAATGAACCTTACTTTGCAGTTTATGCCATACATTGTGGAAGGATTAAATAAATAAAACTAAAAATATTAGTATAATTCTTTATAAAAGTATATCTCATGCATCAGAGGTTGACCAAAGCATTTCTTCATATTCATCATGCAAGATGCCCATTGTGTTCACAAATCATTGTACCATTAACTGGAGATGCAGACAGATATCTGCTAATCAGAATTGCTCTTAATGCAAAATCATGTTTAGTATATGACAAATATAATAATGAGCTGACATTAGCCATTATATAAATATGAATGTGCTTAGAATATTACAGCATGTGCTATTTATGTATTGCTTGCCAAAAGTAATCTAGGCTAATGAAGGTACAAAAATTATTTTTACCTCTGAGAACAGAAAATGGTGCACATACAAGTCATTTGCATAGGCATTGTGGATGATTTTATGTTCTTTTTTAAATAGAGTTTAAAAATCCTTATGTATTTTGCCCTGTTTTTCTTCTCCTTGCTTAGTAATACTTTGAATATAAGCACTTTTTATTGGAAATGAAAAATCTCCGTTCATTTTTATGCTTCAGTGTAGTTTCTGCATTTCAGTATGCTGTTACACACTTTATTTTTGTTGACAAACCTCACATATACAATACAACTTAGCCCCTCATGCATTTCTCTAAGGTGGTATAATTAAGAACATAATTAATTTTCCTTTTTTTTCCCACTAGCAATTTTAATTACACATACATATTGAAAGAAGTTTTCATTTGCCTCATGTTCTCCTGGAACATTTCGGCTACTTCTTTCTAATCCTATTCCAGTTCTTTATTTCAGGCTATGGTCCCTGGAGCAAGAGGAATGAAAGATCTTATGTCTGACCCTACTTAATTCACTATTTCCTATACAAGTTAGTTAATTTTGTTTTCCAGACAGATAATAACAAAAACTTGCGTACTGTCACTTTTAAGTAAATATTTAATTGTATTTTTTATTTTCACCCCAAATAATTTAATTCTTGGAGGATATTTTAAACAAGAAGGCCATTTACGTTTATATCTCTGTTGAATATTCTCTGTGATCTTCACTGTCTGCTCTGTCCTGAAACCAGGAGAACACACATTTCCTTTTAGGAGCTTAATAATAGGTGGAAGAAAAATTATAAATAGAAGAGAGTATTTGTTTTTTTTTTTCAATTTCCACAAAACCTAATTTTAACCAACTTCTCAAACTATTTTATGCTCATAGAGCATTTAATTTCTTCTTGTCATTGAAAATTAAATAGAAAATCCAGAGGCACTAGATATAATCTTGTAAAAACATTTTTCCCAAAATGAAGTTAAATAGGAAAGAAAATTGGTATTGGAGGTATCATATAACAAAGATTTTCAGCATGGCGGAATTTTCTTATACAAGACCATCCTGAAGGCAACTTATTTCTCATTGCTCTATAGGAAAAATATTTAACTCTAACTTTCTCTACCTTAATGATGATTGCTATATGCATTACAATACGATGTTGTGACTAAGCCTTCCTTGAGTACCATAATCAGTTTAACCACAACAGTACTGATTTCAGATACAATGAAGCAAAATATTTTTTTTATACAATGTGTTTTTTTATTACTGTATTGGAAAAAAAAAACTGATTCAGTGACCCTTCTATATTGAACTTAATTGTTAAAATTTAAGGAAAAAAAAAATTGATCTAGAGAAGTAGATAAGAAGTTTTAATAGCACTGTAATTTATTAGTTCTTAAATGTTGATTTAAAAAATAAAGTACTTTAGTTGCATAAAGTAATGAAATTTCCATTAGTACTGCATATTAGATAAGTGAACTTATGTTAAAATAAATTTATCTTAATCAAGTACAATTTTAATTTTATTATTTTTTTGATACTTTGATTAATGATAAATTATTTTTTCTTCTTGTTCCAAATCATAAAATAGGCAAGTTTTGGAATTTTTCTGTTTCCTCAACTGAGCTTGGATAAACACTATTGCACTTTGTCTCTGCAATGTCCTGTTGGTCTGTGACAAAGATCTTACACCGTACTGCATCTGTTTTTGAAATGGTAGCAGCTTATATCCAAGAATAATGAGAAAATATAATATCTTGTATAAAATAGGAACATGACCTGCATTTACTGATACAAAGTTTTTAATGTTGTTCTTGCACATGCTGTAGAGTTTCATTTTACCTGTATGCATGTTGCAGGCAGAAAATCACGTTTCCTTTATTAACAGAAAAATAGTGTGGATTTTTTAAATAGGGAATAAGCCATATCCAGTGTGTATGAATACGGAACAAAGTGCACTTTGGGAAAGATTGGACAAGAACATGGAATTCATACTAACAACAGCATCATTTTTATAGAGTTTCCCCAGCTGTACTACGGGGACAGAGAAAGGAGCATATCCATTACATGGCAGGTGACAAATTGCTGGTTTTAAGAACAAAGCCTTGTTTCGAGATGTTATCTAACTGTATAGGTTAAGTAGATCAGTTTGATGCTCTGTGATAGCCCGATCAACAATGACTCCTTTTCACTGAAGTTTGGAGAACTTGAGTTGAGGGGAAGAAATGCTTTTAGAGTCACACTTGAAAACTTATTATAATACATTGCATATGTTTCACAGTAAAGCACATGTACATTTTAGCCAGTTATTGCATGTTTTGTCACAGATGGGCAAATTTTAATAATGAGAGGTACTAATAAATAACACACTTAAGGCTGTAACTTTCAAGCCCGTTACATGAAATTATGATTTGATTTAATTTATAAATTCAGAGGTGATGGAAATAGTACCTTGATTAGTTGAAAACATGTTTGCAAAGCACAGCTATTTATATTTTTTAATTTAAAAAACGTTCTAAAGCTGGTAACACGCATCGAATCATAGAATGTATGGGGTTGGAAGGGACCTTTAAAGGCCATCTAGTCCAACCACCTCTGCAGTGCACAGGGAACTTTTAAACCAGATCAAGTTGCTGAGAGCCTGCCTGGTCAAGCCAGACCTAGAATGTCTGCAGGGATAGGGCCTCTGCCACCTCTCTAGGCAACATGTTCCAGTGCATCACCACCCTCATTGTGAAGAACTTCTTCCTAATGTCTAGTCTAAATTTACCCTGCTCTAGTTTAAGACCATTGTCCCTCGTCCTGTCACTACTCAACCTTGTAAACAGTCCCTCGCCAGCTTTCCTGTAGGCCCCCTTCAGGTACTGGAAGACCACTATAAGATTTCTCTGGAGCCTTCTCTTCTCCAGGCTGAACAGCCCTGACTCGCTCAGCTTGTCTTCATAGGAGTGCTGCTCCAGCCCTCTAATCATCTTTGTGGCCCTCGTCTGGACTCATTCCCACAGTTCCACATCCCTCTGGTGTTGAGGACTCCAAAGCTGGGCATGATACTCCAGGTGGGGACTTAGGAAAGTGGAGTAGAGAAGCAGAATCAACTCCCTTGAGGCATGCTGGCCATGCTTCTTTTGATGCAGCCCAGGATGCAATTGGCGCTCTGCTTTGTGAGTGCACATTGTTCGGTCATGTCCAACTTTTCGTCCACTAATACCCTGGCGTCCCTTTCTGCAGGGCTGCTCTCTTATCACATCATCCCTCAGCCTGTGTTGATAGTGAGGATTGCTCCTACCCAGGTGCATGACCTTGCACTTGGCCTTATTGAATTTCTCTAGCTTGTCCAGGTCCTTCTTTGTGTTGATTTTGATGATTGAATCTCTCTATTCATAACTTAATATGATTAAGAGAGGAAATGTACACAGGTGTACCTTGCCTTAGTAATTAGAAGACATCTTTAAAGTATATTTTTTTAAGTTGAGAAGTTGTATTTCTGGTATATTTGTCAATTTGTCTAATGCTTCATGTGACAAATTCAATTTTAGTAGATATTTTAGCCATCACGTTGTGTCCCTTCACTGCTAATGGACAGAGAAACGTCTGATTTTCAACCATGGTAGTATAGCTGCACTTCGAATCTTGGATGTTTTGTTTTTTTCAGAATTCACAGAATCACAAAATGGTTTGGGCTGGAAGGGACCATAAAGATCATTTAGTTCCAACCCCCTACCATGGCCAGTTCAGGTTTTAATGTCAGCCTAAAGGGAGGTTTCTGTGAGAATTAGATTTTTCTTTCATAGGCTGAGTCAAGATTATAAAAGACTAGGAAAAATGTGTTTGTGTACAGAACTTTTGAAAGTATAGCAAAATTGAAGGTATTAAGCTAGGGTGTTCTCAGAGAACTCTTGGAGATGACCCATCAAATACATGAAACACAGGTTCATCTGAGGTTATTAGGTTTGCAGTCTCCTTAGGACCAACTGGATCAGCCTGAAGTTGCCTCCTAACAAAATATGTGAGAAAACAGTCATTTAAAAGTAGTATATGTTAGATCTATTTACTAAATATGTGCATTGTCACATTCTTGATTTAGTTTCTTAGGTAAATTTGTGCCAGTCTGTGATGTCTGTAGGTCTTTTTGGCACTTTTAGATTCTATACTGCTCTTGAACGAAAGTATTGCTCATCTAAATAACAGCAGGTGTAAAATATGGAATTCTAAATATTTAGTGTAGCAGAAGAAAAAAAATAAGGCTAGAGAGGAAATTTGCATAGCCTGAAGCTTTCCTGCATAGCGTATAAATTAAAGAAATTGATTTGTGACTGTGTGCTTTTACAAAACATGCATGCTATCTCAGCAATACATGTGAAGATATTCCATGCCTTACTGCCTTCTGTTGTTTAACTTCTTGACGTAAACCCAAGTTTTGTTGGAGTTTGTTGTAGCTGATGATACTCTGGGAAAGAGGTTACTCAGATTGGGGGTTTTGATCCATAATTACACATTGGATCCAAGAGTTACTGGAAAAAACCTTTATATTATTGTAGATTAACCCCAGTTAAATGAGAGCTAAACCATCTTAATGTGAACCTTTATTTTTAAATTTACTGCAACACACTTAAATTAAGATGTGATTTTAAGGCTTGTATTGTTCAGGTCTGAAATGGAATTAAAAAAGGCAATCATGTTGCCAAATGATACTTTCTTTTGTAGTAAATGTAATTCTTCATCTTGACTCTGTGAGTGTGCATCTTCAATTTTGGGGCTCCATTTGCCAGACATAGTGTAAGAGCACAAACATAGTGTAAGAAGAGTAACTTTCTTTGCTGTTGCTGTGACATACCCTTAATAATTATGAGGAAAGAGATATCCCATATTGTTTAGAAGCCATTAAGTGCACTGAAGCATCAGTTCTTCTTTACAATATCCGAAATTTCTGGTGTTTTTGTTTTCAGGTACAGCAAGTGCAGACTGTGCAACAGGTACAGCATGTCTACCCAGCCCAGGTTCAGTATGTGGAGGGAAGTGACACAGTCTACACTAATGGAGCTATGTAAGTTGGCAAATGATTGGCATTTGTGTGTTTATTAAAATGTGAAGTTGAATATATATTTCCAGTTAGATTCTACCAACTAGTATATTTTAAGTGGGAAAGAAATAGGATTCAATCAAAGCTCTTTTATTCTCAAAATGAAGACAGAATTTTTGTGTAAATAGAACTCCTGTGATTGTTTTAGTTGGATGTACGTGAAGTTACATATACAGCATAGTGTTGTGTCACCATTTGACTCAGGTCCGACAACAATGCTCTCGATCCCCTCCCCCTCCCACCCAGGTAGGGAGGGAGAGAGAGAAAAAGAGAGAGACTTGGCTGGATTGAAAACTAAACTACACAGCTTTAATTAAAACACTAAAGAATGATACAAGAAAATATATACAATGATATACAGATATGTTCAGGTATGGGCAAAATCCTCTCGCCTCCCCCCATCCCAGCAACTCCCACAGTACTTCCCTCAGATTGGACAGTCCCGAGGAATCCCAGAGCTGCTGCTGGAGAAAGCAGAGAGTGATGAGGGTCAGGAGAGCTCGAGCCTAAGGGTCGACAGTGATGGATGAACAGAGTCCTCCCCGGATGCCAGCCATGGACTGAAGAGAAGGGAAGAAGAAGCAGGAAGGAAGTTGTCTTCTGTGATCTCTGACCTCCCTTTGAGCTTACGTAGATCTATGGAATGGAATATCTTTGGCCAATTTTGCTGTCTGTCTAACTCAGCCTCCTACGGGGGGGTCACAGATCTCGCCATAGTGTCTGAGCCGGCAGAGTGAAGGTGTGACGTTGAAGCCTCAGTAGTTAGAAAAACATTCCACTGTCTTATCAGCCTAGCAGAAGACACTGTTGCTAGTTAAAAGAAAGCTTACTGAAGGAAAAAAAAAAATCAGTAAAAAGGAAAATTGGCTTCATCCTGGCTCAAACCAGGACATGTTGTTTGAAAAAGTGTCTTACAGTTTATGGGTAAGTTCTGTCCATGGGATGTACTGTGTTATTTCCGTCCTCAGGACAGAAGACAGGGCCTTCTGTCTTTCTGGCTGCAGTCCTAGTGGCAAATGCATAGAAAAGTGCAGCAGCAATAGTTATTACTTAAATATATTAATATTGTCTTTTAAGTATTTTTTTTCCAAAGGAACGAGAGACAGAGGAAGGAGGGTAACTGTCTCTTTTTGCTGCTTCTTTTGCCTGTTTTCAGCACATTATTGTACTTTTGCTGCTTCTCTGAACTTACTTACCCATCACAAAATTCCTTTCTCCAGTAGAGAAGTTTACAAACATAGAATAATAAGGTTTGATGTGACCTCTGGTGATAACCTAGTCTGATTCCTGATTTGCGGCACCACCAGCTTTGTAGCTGACTGAAGTGTCAAATTAGGATCCTGTTGCTTCGTGAAGGAGCTCTCTTCTCCAGGCTGAGCAACCTCAACTCACTCAGCTTTTCTTCATAGGAGAGGTGTTCCAGCCCTCTGGTCATCTTCCTCCTCTTGTTTTTGAGGCTCCAGAACTGGACACAGTACTCTGGATGGGGCCTCAAGAGAGTGGAGTAGAGTGGCAGAATCACCTCCCTGAACCTGCTAGCCATGCTTCTTCTGATGCATCTCAGGATACGCTTGGGTTTCTGGGCTGTGAGCTCATGTTGAGCTTCTCATCAACACAACACTTGCAAGTCCTTCTCCTCAGGGCTATTCTCAATGCTTTCTCTGTCCAACCTGTGATTGTGCTTGGGATTCCCCTGACCCAGGTGCAGGATGTTGCACTTAGCCTGGTTGAACTTCATACATTTTCTGTGAGCTTACCTGTAAAGCATACTAGGGTTCCTCTGGATGGAATCACTTTCCTCCAGCTTGTTGACGGCACTACACAACTTGGTGTCATAAACAAACTTGAAAGGGTGCACTTCATCCCACCATCCAAGGCGCTGACAAAGGTGTCAGACAGCCTCAGTCCCAACACCAACCCCTGCGGAATATCACTCATCACTGATCTCCTCTTGGACATTGCACACACAGTTCAGTAAATTCAGTTGTCTTTTTCCCCCC